GTAATAAATTGGGGGAATGGTGGTACCATCTTTGCCACATATTCTTGTTTTCTGGGTATGCGTGTCTGCAACGGTGTTGGCCACGTGCCCTTGATTAATTCATCTTCCTTTTTTCCCGGCTATCACGCCCTGGGCTATCACGCCCGTGCCCATACTACCTATCCACCAGCTATCACGCTGCCAGGCTTTCACGCCTCTAGGCTATCACGCCATCACAACAGCTATCACAGCACCAGCGTCAACACATCAGAGCTATCACGCTCCGGAACATCATAGATGCGGCGGGTTACCACACCCGTGGGCAGTTTACTGTATTTTATCGTTGCCGGCAAACTCGCCGCGCGGTTCTTTTATTTTTGCCGTCTACAACTGCGCCGGGCGCACCAAGCCACCCAACAGTGTCCTCTGTCCCTTCAACCAGCACCTACTACATGTAGTTGATTTGTTTACATTAAAACAAAGCAATTCGAGGGTATATCTAAACATTATTAGATTGATTTTCTGCTTTGGCACAGGCCTGAAACCGGCTGAAATCCCTGACGCTAACTCTAACCCTAACCCCAAACCCGCCCAATAGATGGTAGGTTGGCGCTGGGTGGCTCACTCAGTTCTAGGTTGTTGGTGTGCCGGCAATGGCGCTAGGTTGGTGTTGATGGGAAGATCTCTGGGTTGGTACAATTCCTCGGATAGATGCTAGGTTGGTGTTGATGCGATAAACCTATGTTGGTATTGGCTTGGATAGGTGCTAGGTTGGTCCTGACGTGGGTAGTTGGTACGTTGGTGGGCCTTGGAGAAGACCTAGGTCGATCTTGGTGGTTCCGTCGGTAGAAAAGGTGTGGGTGCATAGCTTGCATGCGTCCCTTTGGGTGCAAAACATTTTTGCTGCTCTCATGCGCATAATAAGATCTGCAATACTGTACAGGACGTTTCGCTTCGTTCATATTTTTCTCGCTCTTGGCTTGAACAATTGTATCTATATGCGTTGTGTGCAAGGATGGCAACCAGGCATGTTCGTTAGTCTGAAAATAAAGGCAACGTTTCTTTCGCGCCGATGTGCCAAGACGCCGATCCGTGCCAGACCCCCATCCTTACGGTGCATGGACCAATGCGTTGAGTGAGGTACATTATACTTATGGGCGATGGGTGAGTGATGGTCTGTCGATGGCAAAGCACTGGTAAGTACGAAGTCCAATGTATGTATGTGCCGAGTTCACAGCGCTTCTGTCGAGCAATTCCTTCGTAGTCCAATGGTTAGGATATATCGCTCTCACCGATGAGACCCGGGTTCAATTCCCGGCGAGGGAGTTTCTTTTTTCATTCTAATAGTGTAAGCTTTTCTTCATCCCCCCCAGCTCTTTTTGTTGTTTTTTTCGCCTTTGTTGTATTTTTCGGCAACCATAAATGGTGGTCGAGTAGATTAATATGTTGTGCGGGGTCGAGAACCCTCACTCCGCGCAGGGGGGATATTCGCACCACGTTGTGTTAAATTGGTCAATCAAGCACCATAGAGGCAGTTACACAGCAGCGCTTGCAACTGTCTTGGAAGTGAAAGCGCCAGGAAATAATAAAGTCATACGCAGCTGTCATCTGTACGCAAGGAGTACAATAAGCACAGGATGCCGAACACCCTAGCAGGATGCAGCGCACCCTTCTGCATGCGACTCACCGAACGCCTCACGGCGCTTCGCGCTTGGTGATGTGAGAGGCTGGTCCGTTGAGAACACGGCGTGCTCCGTCCCGGCTTTGTAGGGATGCGAGGCCAAATGGTCTAACGGCTACGATGCACGACTATATGATGAGTGAGTACACACCCCCTACCCTGCTCTCAAGAGCGAATGACCTATGATCATACAATATACACACGATACTTCGTTTAATCATTTTCTCGCTTTAGGCAAAAATGCATTTGCATGCGTTCTGCACAAGGACGACACACATTCTATGTTCCTTTTCGAGTGAATGCATGCTGCATTCTTCTTACAGTTTGTTTTTGATCTGAAATGGCTCCATTTCTTGTTTTTTTTTCCCGGACTTTTTTCCTGTTGTCTCAACGCTCCTCCGCCCCTCTATCGACGCTTGACTGCGCAGCACATCTTTCCTAAGAAACTCCTCCCGATAACATTAATTTCCGATTCTGCGGAGCTCTCCGGTGCACATTGCAAGCTGGGCACACTGATGATGGGTAAACCCCGCGTTGGTAACGCATATTCATCGATCAACGATGTGGGCAGACCCTATTCTTCCTATCATGGGGACTGTCACCATGTACACCGAAGGGTTGCCCCATCTGGGACCTCCGCTCCTACGCTCCACGACCCGAGGAGACATATAGCGCCGCAGCATCAAGCAGCGCCAGCAGACGCACGCATGTGGTGGGAGTGAAGAAGGCCGACGGCGGTGAGTTTACTTTTCTGTTTGACTACACAGGTTTATCGTGCCCGTATGTGTATTGTACATACCGCGGTCGGCGGTTGGCAGTTGGCGATCGAGTGGTCGGTAGGAATGCGATACAATCAACAACGGTTCGGCAGCCGATGGATGACGCGCCGACGCGCCCCTTTTTATCCTGCTCGTATGTACGTGGCTGTCTTCGAGACGGAGCGCAGGAGCTAACATTTCCTACACCCCCAAGCTGTGGTGCCGAGTGCAGGATAATGCCGCTGCTACCTAGTCCGCTCTCTCAACTACGCGTTGAGCCACAAAGCCCGCACTCTTCAAGGGAGCATGGTCGGCGGAACAGTAACGAGTTCGGATGGTTGTGGGTAGTGGGTGGGGTGCGGGTAGTTGAAGGTTGAGTGAGTGGCGAATTCGGACGGTAGGTTGGACATGTGAGACCTTCGCTCGCATCAGAACATGAACTTGAGAACGTGAGAGAAATCTTTGTGATGGTGTTCCCTTGTAACACGAAAGGTTGGGGTGTGTGTCTGCGTTAGTCCCATCTACATACAGTACTGCTTTTGCTGTGTGATTGTCCGCGCTACAGATTTTTTGCCCTCCGAGTGAGATGCACGGAGCGGAGTATCTTCGTCAATCACTCACGCCGTTCAAAAGCCTCCGTTAAATCTGCGCTGTTGAATACACACCGCCACTGCTGGTGGGAGGGTTTTATATCCAAGCTTGGGAGACCAGCTTGATATAGGTCAGCCTGGTTTTCCTACCTAAGGAGGCGTCTGGTATTCCTCAGTAGGATTGAAGGCCAGGAGGGGGACCTCAACCCCCAAGCCCCGGTCCATATGTTGGCGAGGAAAAAATATTTTAGGCATTTTTCGGGACGTGGAAGAGAAAACAAATCCACCTGTATCCATAAAATAGAGTCTAAGGTACATTATTACTGAAGCAATGAATGCATCGCGTGAGCGGAAGCTACCTGTATTTCACGATTTCTTTTTGATGTGTGTTTGGTGATGGTCTCTCAGCTTGAAAGCTTGATCCACTTGCCACACAACCGCCATGCCACCCATCACTTCGCTGCTACAAAGGCGGCACTTCCCTTCTTACATCACGGGTAGGGAAGATGTTTCTCCGGAGGCCGTCACTGCTGGTGCAGCACCCCGGCCTTTATCATGTCGTAGGCAGAGAGAGGTGACCTGCAAACAGGCACGGAACACGAAGAAAGAAGCGAAGATAGATGTTGTTGGAGGTTGGGAGAGAGATGCGGCGGAATAAAAAGTTTGAAATTGTCAAATTGTCGCGACGTCGCTTTGCCCTCTCGCGTTCGGTCAGAGTTCAGAGTTCGGGTGTGTCGTCACGTTTGAACGCACGAGCATGGATATGCAATACAATCTAAGGGATCGAAACCTGACGTACATGCCTAGTCTCTGTGCTTGCGCCACGATACGGCACGGCACAGCAGCAACTGACAAGCTGAGGTCACACACACAAGTGTGTGTCACGCACTCGCAGCACCCGATCTGCGAACGGATCTGGACTCCACCTCGGATATCTTATCTTCACTCATGAACATTCTACAGTACTGCTACTGCTGATGCCGAGGTTCGCCCATGGCCATGGCGGATAGAACATTCTTCGGCAGAAAGCAGTTGATAAAGGCCCGACTTTCTCATCTGTCTGGCTCTAATTCCGGGGTGATGTGTCTCTCGCATGTCACCCTGCGCCACCGCACGGTAAAAAACGTCTCTTCCACCGTCTTTAAAAACCGTCTCTTCCACCGTCTTGCACAGAATAACAAAATTTTGCTCCGTACCAGCAGGTCTTTGTAGTTCTTGTAAGTCAAGTTCCTGCTAGTGCGCAGCAGCTAAATGATAGGCACCCTCTGTTTTGTTGGTGGCGGATTGTCATGATGCACAACGCTGCTCCTGTGCGCAGGGGGAGAAGAGCAAGAAAAACAATCTTCCGTTGAAAAAAAAGACAAGGAATCCGTTTCATGGATATTACTGTAGCTTTGGGACAATATCCGATGTCCTACTGTAGGCGGACGAACACAAGATACTGGGATCACGGCAGCCCTTGTTTCGTGGCATTGGTTGGGGCAGTGCGTCAGGCTGGTGAAACATACCACAAATGCAATTGGACGCCGGCCAATGTGACGTGCATCGACCGCGTAGATGCAACGTTCACACGAAATGAAAAATCGAACTTTTTCGGGTCATCTTCCAAGTTCAACTTCCGACTGATAGCCTTATGTGACTTGGCCACCTCCAATACCACAAAAACAATCTCATTGTTGCACGAACCAATCAAAGAAAACCAGAGACTAATCCTGCTGACGTCTACCAAACGCACGACAACACGAAGCGAAACAAAATCAATCACATCAGGCCCCGGTTTTTGCACAGCATCGGACTCTCAAAGCACTACGAAGCACGTCATGACAGGGAATACCAACATTGTAGACAAAACCATCCAGCCAGACCAAACCAAGCAGCCAACGCTGAAGTAACAACCCAACCAACCAATTTGACTACATCATTATAGTAAAAATGTCTGCCCTCTTGCTGTCTGCTCTCGCCCCCTTTGGACAAACTTGACAACGTTGCAGGTCAATATCCCGCTCTCTTATCCACAAGGTGGATCGACACCTCGTCGCCCTTGACAAAGTTGCCCACGTTGTCGGCAAACAAACGGACGCTGTCGTTCAAGAAGTGCGCCGTCAGGTCGGCGTTGTGAGGCGACAGCAGCACGTTCTCCAAGCCCCACAGATCGCTCTCCGCGGGCAGGGGCTCTTTGCAGAACACGTCCAAAGAAGCACCCCTTGATTTTTTTTTCGTGTGGACCAGTGCCAAAAAACACGCAACAAAAAATGGACGAAGGGAAAACGGTATGCGGAGTAATCAGATCAGGGCAAAGGTGGGCCAGGAGTAAGAAAATAAAATCAGTCGGCTGAGCTGGAAGCTATCCCCGCATTGTACTCGGAAAATAGGAACACCCGGTGCCTCACCCCACAGTTTGTGCTGTCGGACAATTTGTCTGAATCATCCAAATAGAGGTCGCGTAGTCGATGGCAATGTGAAAAACAATGTGAGCCAAACAAAAATTCTCATTGTTCTCGCCTCTGTATTGATCGACTACATTGGCTACTCTCTCTTCTCTCTCTGTTCCCCCTGTCTCAATTCTGGCTCTCTCTCTCACACAAACACACCTCAGTCGTCCATCCCGCAGCATTTGTGTCATCGCCTCCTCGTCGACGAGAGGTCCACGGCCTATGTTGATGATCACGGCGTGGGGTCTCGCCTGCAGAGAGAGAAAGAGTGGGATGAGAGAGAAAGGCTCACTGCACGGTTGAGATAATGCAATCGGTTGAGCATCATCGCGAGTTTTTTCTGCACGTGAAGGATCTATGCTGATGTCTGCCACGGTGTATGGACCAGTCAGTCTGGTGCGAGGATCACAAGGGGGTTACTGCAGCCTAAAAAAACGGTAAGCCCTGACCCTGACCCTAACCCTGGACCCTAACCCACCAAGCAATAACGGATTGAGCCTGTGAGCTATGGGCAATGACACGTAAAATCGAACGACACAGAGAGAAAACTGAAGTGCTACACCACAGCAAGAACAAAGAGGTGCTGGCAGAGCTTGCATGCGTACGGGTTTTGCCTGCACAAGCTAAGCGGATGCACCCGTAGCGGGCACCGTCGACCGAGACCGTTTTGAAACGGCAAACTCGGTCGGTCTCCAATGAGTTGCCTAGCAGTGATCCAGACAGAAAATTCGTTTTTCGCATGTGTGCTGGTCTGGCCTCCACCGACGAAACACCAATTGTAGCTAGGATACTCACCCTTGCGAGCTCCGCGGCTCCAACCATGCCTGTGGTCTCGGGCGTCAACGCTGCCGCCACCAGTATGTAGTCAGACTTGGCGATGACCTCGCCCACCTGCGAAATACAAACAACCACCCCGAACATACGAAAAACAAATGCATGACCATGGCGATACTACAAACTGCAATGCCGGAACCACAAAGTGTAGCACACACGAACCTCGCTCAGAGACAGCTGTCTGTGTCGCACAAGGAAACAGCGTGCTGTGTAGTGCTGGCCACAATGAACGATGAATAGTCAATGAGAAAGCATGGCAGACTGGTAACACGCGCCACACCCACGGGCGGGACGTTGGTATTTTGCAGCTGCGATGCAGCAAACGAGCCATCGCAACAAACGAGAACAATAGGCGCGGCAAAAAGTTAACTTAATCGATCGATCAGTGATCGCGTTGGGGCAAAGCGGAGCCCGCGGCATTCAATGAGTTAGCGTGGCGACCCGTCGTCATTCTCGTAGATGATGAATGAACATCAAGGATTGACATCAGGATGGAAACACAGAAACGTTCGAAACAAAGGGCATTCGTAACGCAGTTTCCCGCGCACAACGTGTGAAAATGTCCGTGGCGCGTTATTCGACACCCATCGTGCCTTCTAGGATCGTAACGGCAGCAACCCATCTACCCGCCCCTCGGCACACATCACTTCCCAGATCGACCCCCCCCCCCCCCCCCTCTC